TGAAATGCATTGAAACAGCAATGTTTTACTATATAATAATTTTTTAAAAAATGACATTTTTTAAAAATTTCAAATTTGCCGAGGTCCCGTACGTCCCGACGTCACAGGGACCGGAACACGGAAGCCGGGATGCCGGCATCGGCCGGAGGAGATGGCCGGGGACGCTGCAGGGGACACATCGCGGGAGCGAAGGACAAGGTAAGCGCTGCAGGGACTCCCTGAGCAACGCCGCATGGTAAGCCGAGTGTAGCTCAGGGTTACCGCTCTTGGTACTGAAATTTTACCCCGAGCTACACTCGGGAATACCGCCAGGGAGGTTAAGAGCCTGAGCCAGCAGCAGCTCCTGCCTCCTCCTCAGCCGGAGCTTCAGTGAGCGCTGGAGAGGCAGGGCAGAGAGCCAGTGACTGACAGTCACCAGCTCCCTGCTCACTGAAGACCTGAGAACTGAGCCGAAAGGGGACCAATGCTGCATCCACCTAGGTGAGTATAGTTTATTTTTTTTTTAAAAATCCACACTTCTCTTTTAAGTAAATAAAGACTTAAAGTATATCAGAAGCAATTATTTTACATAAAGTAAGGTAAGGTTAAAACCCCTGCCATTTTTTTTTTTATCATGACTCCAATTCCAGAGATTTACTTTTTCTTCCTGTCCTGTGTGTCAGCACAGGTCTGATCATTGGAGGAGAGCAGGCTGAGTTCCCAGCACAGCTAGAGAACTGACCATGCTGTGCTCTCCTGCCTAGTGTGGTCATTTTTTTAATAGGAAAGCAAAGGGACTGGCAGGAACACCAAGGATTTTACACAAAGAAAACAATGCAAAGAGAACAGCAGGATATTTTTTTTTATACAAGTACATGGTACAGCAGGCACATATTAGGAATATGAAATGTTGGGTTTACAGGTGATAAAACTTCAAATTCTATTGTAGATTGCTTTTCAAGGGGCACTCGGAGTAAATGAGCTCTTAGCCAACTGTCACTAGAACAAGTGTGAGCATGGTAAATTTCCCCTCTAAACACATTATAGTGACAACCAAAAACTTTGTAATTATCATCGTTTTCACTTCCAGTGACTGTGGTCGGCAGCATACAGAGAAAGTAAATCTCCCCCATGAGGACACAGACAGCAATATACACCAGACAGGGGTTCAAAATTAATACTTTATCCAAAAACTAAATAAGTAACCTATTTTTTACTTTAATGAGAACTGATATATTAAACACAGCCAAGACCTATTAGTTATTGCTATCCATAGTGTTGGCACTGATCCTGCTCTGGACTGGTGAGCCAAGCCTAAACCTCCTCCTCTCCTCCACCCTGGAAACTATAGTAATAAACATGTTCAGTCACATTAATTACTGGTCTATGAGGGATCATATACAGTACAAATACAGCTCACACCTCTCTTCTTAAAAAGGATAATGTTTTAGGTCAATTTTTTTTGCAAAGTTTATAAATGATTAAGGCTCCATGCACAAAGCTAAAAAAAAAAAAAAAAAAACTTTAGAAAAAAAACACAAAAACATGAATAATAGCGGTTTTGTACCAACTTGTAGTAGTGTTTTGGAGTGTTAGCATTTTATTAGCTTTTTTATAGTACACAAAGGAAAATAAACACTCAAAAAAAATCTCATGGGGGCATTTTAGTAGCGTTTAGAAGCTTTCAGCGGTTTTTTTTCTGCCAGGAAAACACTTCCAAAAAACTCTACAAAAACAATTTTATTTCTGCTTCTGCTTGAAAAATGCTTCTAACAAATTAGGATAACACTATTAGCTTCTAGGAGCTTAAAAAAACACTTGTATGCATGGAGCCTAAAACAATATTAAACCCAAAATTAATAATGTATTATATTGCAGCTTATCAATTCTTAGATGCAATGGCCGCATTATTATTATTATTTTTTTTTTTTTTTGGCTTTTTTCCTATATTTTCACCTGGTGATCCAACCAGTAAATCCTTTATTTTTTTTTTTAGTTTCCTTTAACAGACCAAGCTGTTGAGACAAACCATGTACCACTGTCAGGATTGCTTACAATGGTCAGCTTTTATTTATGTAAAAGCTTTATGCCAAAAGGAAAAAATATGTTTGCAGGCACCATATATAAAGGACTGGGTTTATTACCACTTTAAATTGATTGTTAACATCTTTAGTTTTTCTCTCTCTCTCTCTCTCTCTATATATATATATATTCTAAAATATTTTCTGTACAAATAAAAACTTTAAAGGCGGAGTGCACCTATTACACAGAACTGGCAAAGCATCATAAGGTTTTCTAAAAAAAAAAAAAAAAAAAAAAAAAAAAAAAAAAGTACAGCAAATGCTGCTTGCTTTCAGACTGTCACTCTCTTACATCTCAGCACATTGAGCAATTTGTGCTTGAGCTACTGAGCTCATTTACGAATAAGGTATACTGCCCATTTTTTATTCAATATGTTTTTATCTGGTTTGCCAATGCAAACAGAGCATTTACATAAATAGAAAATAAATATCTGTGTAAATATCATTCACATTTACTTCATATAGCTAGGTTGTATAACAAAAAGAAGAGGGGATGAGGCAAAGGAAAAGGAGGGGGAAGAAAGCACAAGGAAGGGAGGAAAGGAGTTCAGGAGAGATGGACACTTTACTACGTTCATATTTTTTCCCACATGCCCCACCACCTCAGTGCTTCATAAAATCAAAGAGTCAGAGCTAAAAGGTGGAAGGCATATAAGATACAAAATACAATCCATGGTTCCTATATTTTATGATCTTTGGCTACCCTGTCATTTTATCTAGCAGTTAGTTTTCAAATACTATAACTTGTAAAACCTGGCACTTAACCTCTGCAAAGGAGATAGACTGGGTTTTCCTTGCTCTGGCTACTACCTGTTTTGCAGCTGTAAGGTGAGGCGTAACTAATTTAAATTGAGTGTTGATGCATTCTACAGGTTGTCTGTTTAGGAGGGCATTGTAGGGGTCTTTACAAAAACATTTGCATGTGATCATATAAAGCATTTTATAGCACCTAATCCAAAATGTTTTCACTTTTGGGCAGTCCCGTCAAATGGGCTGAAAAGAACCATTCTTTTGACATCCCCCAGAGCACTTGAAGGAATAGGTTGGGATTGTATGAGAAGTTCTCAAGGAGACCAGGTACCATCAAAGGAGGAGCTCTTAGTTCGCCTCCACAGCCAATACTTGTGCAGAACATTTAGCTGTATTGGTCCACATCCAAGTCCAGGCTTCTTCTGATATATGGCCTTCCAAATCACAGAGAATATACCAAGCTAATAAGGCCCGGCAAACTGGCTTGTTCAAGAAGGCTCCCTCAAGGGAAGAGGGCAGAGGTATGTATCATCACCAGTATGTAGTTGTGAAAAGTGTTTAATTTGGGAAAACATCTCTAGGGCCAAATACATATTTGTCCTTTAGGGTTTTGAATGGCAAAATACCTGAATCAGTCACAAAATGGGTGATGAAGTGTAAGCCATGACAGAACCAAGTGTTGAAAGCTTTGTGGGTGGCAAAGCTTGGTGGAAATATAGGATTGCCCAATATGGAAAGCGGGGGGCGTATGTGGTGAGATAGGTTTATAGCTAAATTTTGGGCTGTACCATAACCTCAAGGAGTGCTTAGTTATAGGGCATGACAAAGGACCCTTTTCTTTCTGAGTCAACCACAAAAAGTTGGTTATAGAGAGAGGGTCACAGGGACATGCTTCCAGAAAGGCCCACAAAGGGACAAATTTAGGTGATTGCCACCAAGTCAGGCTGCTAGCTACAGCTGTATGCGAGTGACTGACTCCCGGGTTCATAAATACAATCCTTGGCAGTGTACAGCCCTCTGCAGCCGTGTGAATGAGGACTTAGTCTTCTATGGTAGAAACAAGCTAAATATAGTTATCAGGTATTTACGATCAGGTTTGCTGGGAGATATGTCTGGATTATCATTTCACATATAATGCTTTAGAAGTTATTCTGATTATCATTCAAAGGCCATACCTATAATTCCTGGTAGTATTTCCTGAATGATGATATCACTCCACTGAGTACACGTGCCAAGATGTACTGTCCAGAGTCTGCAGAGTGCCATACACATGGGGGTGTGTTTACAGAAGGAAAGGAGAAGTACTGCTTGAATCGACTAGATTCTTGATGTCCTACGTTGTGACTGGCCCTACCTTGCAGTAGCTGGTACATTAGGCTTTGTGTCACAACATCCAAATTTCAAAATACTATTACAAAATAGTAAATAGCATATGTAGTATGAGCTAGTTCTTATTAGCATTCTGATTCTCTAGGGCTGGCAGTTGTCATTTCAGACCTGGTTATTTATAATGCAGCCTATTTAAATTGAGAAAGGTAGTGACTCTTGTTTGGTATCTTCGTGTGCACCACCCTGAACATGGACCAGAGATAGAAAAGGTGAAATTTTTGCCTGAGATCAGAAAAAAAAATTACAGACTAGTATGTGAAACGTAAAGGTATAAAGCCCATCTCCAAGCAGCTTGATGTGCCTGTGGCTATAGTTGTGATTATCAACCACTTGCCCTCCAGACAATTTACGCCCCCCCCCCCTTCCTGACGAGGCCAGTTTTTGTGATATGGCGCTGCGTTATTTTAACCAACAATTGTGCGGTCATGCAACGCTGTACATAAATAAAATTTATGTTCTTTTTTTCCCCACAAATAGAGCTTTCTTTTGGTGGTATTTGCAAGTTATTTTTTTGTTGAGCTATAAACAAAAAAAGACCGACAATTAAAAAAAAAAAAAAAAAAAAAAAAAGACAAACAAAACAATATTTTTGACCGTTTGCTATAAAGCATATCCAGTAAAAAAATTTTGAAAATCAAATTTCTTCATAAATTTAGACGTCTTTGCTAAAAAAAAAAAAAAAAAATCCCAATACATGTAAATTAATTGGTTTATGGGAAAGTTATAGCGTCTACAAATGGCGGTATATACAGGAATTTTTTTGTTATTTTTTTATACTAGTAACAGCGGCGATCAGCGACTTATAGCAGGACTGAGGTGGGCATTCTGACACTGGGTGGGAATTAACTGCCACTGACATCCCAATAACACTAATACAGTGATCAGTGCTAATAAAAAGCACTGACACCGTACTAATGACACTGGGCAGAAAGGGGTTAACATCTGGGGCAATCAAAGGGTTAACTGTGTGCTTTTCTACACAATGTGAGGTGTGTGTTTTACTAGGGAGACATGCTGCTGTGTATTTCTTTGCTGCGCAGAGAAATACACAGCAGCATGATCTTGCTGGTAGAAGAGAGAATTGTATTTACACACAGGTCTCTCCCCTGTAAGTTTTACTCAGTGATTGCTGGGTGCCGGCGAGGAATCTCCGGCTGGGACCTCGTGATTGACAGCTGTAGCCACCAATGGCGCCATGGGTAGGGTGGCGCACCGGAACCTTACCCGGAAATACAAATCACATATATATATACATGATTTTGCGCAGCCCTGACGCCCTATAGCAGTACTTCTACAATAGGGTGGTGGGCAAGCGGTTAAGTTTAAAGCATTATTAAACCCAAATGCAAACATTTATTTTATTGCAGCTTACCTATTCTTAGACATGATGACTGTATTAGTTTTCTTTTTTGACTTTCTTCTATTTCATTTAGAAATTCAGCCAGCTACTTTGCTCTTTTTCAGAAGTACCAGCTCCAGCACCATGTATCAGTTTACATGGATGAGACCATACATTTAGCTCTGCCAGGGGTGATTAATATGATCATCTATTATTTACTCATCTAAAACTTTTATCCCAAAAGCAAAACACTGTTTACTGCAACGGATTATAAAGTGTAAGCTAGAGTTTGGCTTCAATTTGCTATTTGTATCCAAATCTACTAATACATTTAACACTCCCCATCCCCAGGCTGACAATGCTGCTCTCCGATGTCCTGGCTCATTCCTCCAAAGTGTTGTCGCAGTAACATATGAGATGAGTTACTGGCCAGATCATCGGGTTAAAACAGAAGGAAAAAAGAAAACAAAACTGATGCAGCCACCATGTCTATTGATTGGTAAGCTGCAATATAGAACATTTTTGGTTTGGGGTTTAATAACACTTTAACGTCTATTTGAGTGTAGTCAACCTCCTTGGCCAAAGCTTCAAGAGAAAAATGGACCCCAGATTTAACAGAAGGGTAGAGCAAATTGTAGACAAAGAGCTAAGAAAAACATATAAAGAGATACAAGGTGAACTCCCGGGTCAAGGTACATCAGTGCCTGATTGCACTTTTTGAGCAACAGTGGGCTCAAAAGAAGAAGACCCAAAACGATTCCAATGTTGAAGGAACAACATAAAAAAGCAAGACTGGAATTTGCCAAAATGTATATTGACAAAACATGATGGTGAAGATTTACTAAAATTGGAGAGTGCAAAATCTGGTGCAGCTCTGCATAGAAACCAATCAGCTTGCAGGTTTTATTGTCAAAGCATAATTGAACAAGCTAGAACGGATTGGCTACCATGAACAGCTGCACCATTTTCCAGCTTTAGTAAGTCTCCACCAATGGTTATGGTAGAAAACTGGAACTTTTTGCAAGTCACATCAGCTCTACATTCACAGTCGAAAAATAAAGCTTTTAAAGAAGAGAATACAGTACCTATTTTGAAATATGGAGGAGAGTTGGTTATGACTCTTAGATTGTAAGCTCTAACGAGCAGGGCCCTCTGTTTCCTCTTGTGCCAAATTGTAGTGTAACTGTAATGTCTACCTTCGTTTTGTAAAGCGCTGTGCAAACTGTTGGCACTATATAAATCTTGTATAATAATAATAATGTTTCAGGGCTGCTATGCTGCATCTGGCATAGGTTCCCTTTAAATCCATGAGGCGCACAGTGAAATTTCAAGACCTCTAAGGAATTCTGGAGCCAAATGCACTTCCATAATCTGAAAGCTTTGTCTCAGTTGCAGGTCATGGGTCCACCAACAGGACAATGACCCAAAACACATGGCTAAAAGCATCCGAAAGAACAAAACACTGAACTATTCTGAAGTGACCTTCTACGAGCCCTGATCTGAATCCTATCAAGCATTTATGGAAAGAGATGAAACATGCAGTCTGGAGAAGGCACCCTTCAAACCCGAGGACAACTGGAGCTGTTTGTTCAAAAAGAGTGGGCCAAGCTATCTCCTGGCAAGTGCAGAATTCTCAATGAGAGCTACAGAAATCACTTGTTTGCAGTGACTGCCTCTAAAAGGTTCTGCAACAAAATATCAGGTTAAAGATCCTCTCATTTTAGTCTGTGCCATTTTCATTATTAATATTTAACATATTCTGTTGAATCAAAAAGTACAATTGGATGCCAATTCCATTTTTCAGCTTCAAGTTCTTTCACAGAAATGGTGGGTTCTTCTTTAACACCACATTTATCCACAGCTGTATTTCAGCAGCAGCTAATAAAAGCTCTATACTTATAAAAAATGCTAAGTGCCTGGCTTCTAAGCAAATGCTTTAATACTTTCTGAAATTACTTTCTGGAACCAAGTTCCAGGCAAATTAGAATAAAGTATTGAAGCTAGCAAGGCTACCAACGTATTCACCAAAGGGTCAGCAATATTCTTCTAAATGTCTCAGTGCAGGTTCCCTGTAAGAGTATCCTTAGGGTCAGTTAACACTGTTCCCGTTTGCAACGATTTTGAAAGCCCATTCATTTGAATGGGCTACAAATAACACTGGAATGCGTAAAATGTGGAAACACTACTTTTTCAGAATGCACTGCACCAAACCACATGGTACTACGCAGGGGCGGGCTCTGACTGACCATTTGGAAACTCGGGCACTGCCCGAGGGCCTGGGGTCAGTAGGGGGCCCCATGAGATGCCCCTGGTACCTTTTTCATAGGCTTTTTTGCGTTTGGGCAAGGACACAGGGGCCCCATGATCCCCTATTTCCCGGGGGGCCCCATGAGTTGTCAGTCTGCCCCTGGTACTATGGTACCATGAGATTTACTGCAGGCATATGCGCTGTCTTTGCAATATGCATTTGGGGTGCTATTGACAATGCACCTGCACACTCTCGCAAGGGCACTGCAAGAATGGGCCTTTCCCACAGCGCATTTTGGTGTGAACATGTCAGGGACACTAGTAATCTCTATAAAGTAATTTATAACTGTATGAAAAACAATCAAAGATAAAATAATTAGAGCTTATTAAGCAAATAAAATATTCTGAGTCACAAATTAAAACACATAGCATCAATATTTCACATGCTGCATCCATGCTAAGTAGCATGTATATTAATTACTGAGAAAGTGATCAATGGGGGATGGAAGACTGCGGAAATGCTTCCTCTTGCCTGCAGTAAAACTGATGACATCATCTGACAGATCTTTAGAGATTCTACCTAGGCAAAGCTGAAAGCCTGCTTTAATAATTAAAGGATATTTTCAGTGAGACTGTGTGTTGTGATATGTTACAAAAATGTACCAAACTCCTTCGCATTTTGTTGCCAGGAAAAACTGAACTGCATTTCTTTCAGCTTTTTATGTTGGCTACAGAACCTCCTTCTACAGATACGAGGAATATCTCATTAAGGTTTACACCCTGTTCCAAATTATTATGCAAATTCTATTTAAGTGTCACAAAGATGAAATATTTTGTTTTTCAGGTTAACTCATGGATGGCATTGTGTGTCAGGGCTCTTTTGATCACTAAAAACAATCTCGGACACCTGTAATAATTAGATTGGCAGGTGAGCCCAATTTAAGGAAAAATTACTAAACAAGGGTGTTCCACATTATTAAACAGAGCACCATTTTCAAGCAATATGGGGAAGAAAAAGGATCTCTTTGCTGCTGAAAAGAGTGAAATAGTTCAATGCCTTGGACGAGGTATGAAAACATTAAATATTTCACAAAAACATAAGCATGATAATCGCACTATTAAGAGATTTGCGGCTGATTCAGAGCACAGATGGGTTCGTGCAGATAAAGGCACATTGAGGAAGATTTCTGCCAGATCCATGCATCGGATCAAGAGAGCAGCTACTAAAATACCATTACATAGCAGCAAACAAATATTTGAAGCTGCTGGTGCCTCTGGAGTCCCCCGGACATCAAGGTGTAGAGTCCTCCAGAGTCTTGCAACTGTGCATAAACCTTCTATTCGGCCACCACTAACCAATGCTCACAAGCAGAAACGGATGCATTGGGCAGACAAATACATGAAGACTAATTTTCAAACAGTCCTGTTCACTGATGAGTGCTGTGCAACCCTGGATGGTCCAGATGGATGGAATATTGGATGGTTGGTGGACGGCCACCCTGTTCCAACAAGGCTGGGACGTTAGCAAGGCAGTAGTGGAGTTATGTTTTGGGCCGGAATCATGGGAACAGAGCTGGTCGGCCGCCTTAGGGTCCCCAAAGGTGTAAAGATGACCTCTGCAAAGTATGTGGAGTTTATGACTGACCACTTTCTTCCCTGCTACAGAAGGAAGAACTATGCTTTCCGTAATAAAAATCATCTTCATGCATGACAATGCACCATCTCATGCTGCGAAGAATACCTCTGCATCAATGGCTGCTATGGGGATAAAAGGAAAGAAAGTAATGGTGTGGCCTCCATCCTCCCCTGACCTCAATCCTATTGAGAACCTTTGGAGCATCCTCAAGCAAAAGATCTATGAGGGTGGGAGGCAGTTTACATCCAAACAGCAGCTCTGGGAGGCTATTCTGACATCTTGCAAACAATTCAAGCAGAAACTATCCAAAAACTCACAAGTTCAATGGATGCAAGACTTGTGAAGCTGCTATCAAATAAGGGGTCCTATGTTACAATGTAACGTGACCTGAATTATGCTGACTGTTATTTACATCAATTAGTTAGGTAAATGAGAAAAATATCATTTGCATAATAATTTGGACCAGGGTGTAAAAGGGATGAAACACATGCTTGGTGGCTGATTTGAAGTCTTGCAATATGCATTGATAAAAAACATAATACAAAGGATCATTGCACTGAGTACTAGTTTTGTGAAACAAGATTGGATTCTGTACTGAGAGAAGTGTTACTCCAAGCCGCACAATCTCCAAAACAGTGAATGAAGGTTGAGCAGTGCTCATTATCTGGGCAGCACAGGAGCAAGGGGCAGAGATTAGTACTGGGCCAGGTGGTCTGCACCGAGGATGGAGGCATGCCTTAACAGGACAACTTGCAGCAATGGGAAAAAAATCCCTTTAAGATTTATATCTAAATGCAAAACATTGACTTTGCATTCCCTTTATATTTAGGCCTGTTTCACATGGGCTTCGGCTTGTTATAAGATCAATGTGAACAGTAAGCTTTGACAAAGCATTTGCAGAGCTTTCAGCAAGCTTTGTTGAAGCTTTTAAAGTACCATCTAGCTCCAGCTTGTAGTATCTCACAGAAGTGAGTACACCCTTCACATTTTTGTAAATATTTTATTATAACTTTTCATGTGACATCACTGAAGAAATGACATTTAGTAGTGAGTGTACAGCTTGTATAACAGTGTAAATTTGCTGTCCCCTCAAAATAACTCAACACACAGCCATTAATGTCTAAACAGCTGACAACAAAAGTGAGTACACCCCTAAGTGAAAATGTCCAAATTGGACCCAATTAGCCATTTTTCCTCCCAAGTGTCATGTGACTCGTTAGTGTTACAAGGTCATGTGTGAATGGGGGGGGGCAGGTGTGTTAAATTTAGTGTTCTTGCTCTCACTCATACTGGTCACTGGAAGTTCAACATGGCACCTCATGGCAAAGAACTCTCTGAGGATCTGAAAAAAAGATTTGTTGCTCTACATAAAGATGACCTAGACTACAGGAAGATTGCTAAGACCCTGAAAATGAGCAGCAGCACGGTGGCCAAGACCATACAGCGGTTTAACAGGACAGGTTCCACTCAGAACAGGGCTCGCCATGGTCGACCAAAGAAATTGAGTGCACATGCTAAGCATCATATCCAGAGGTTTTTCTTTGGAAAATAGACGTATGAGTGCTGCCAGCATTGCTGCAGAGGTTGAAGGGTGGGGGGGGGTGGGGTCAGCCTGTCAGTGCTGAGACCATATGTCGCACTCTGTATCAAACTGATCTGCATGGCTGTCGTCCCAGAAGGAAGCCTCTTCTAAAGATAATGCACAAGAAAGCCCGCAAACAGTTTGCTGAAGACAAGCAGACTAAGGACATGGATTACTGGAACCATGTCCTATGGTGTGATGAGACCAAGATAAACTTATTTGGTTCAGATGGTGTCAAGCGTGTGTGGTGGCAACCAGGTGAGGAGTACAAAGACAAGTGTGTCTTGCCTACAGTCAAGCATGGTGGTGGGAGTGTCATGGTCTGGGGCTGCATGAGTGCTGCCGGCACTGGGGAGCTACACTTCATTGAGGGAACCGTGAATGCCAACATGTACTGACTGTGTGACTGTGTACTTTACAAAATAATCTAGAGTGGGTGACTGGGGACAAAGAGAAGGCAAATTTATTAAATACCTTCTTCAGCTCTATGTATACAAAGGAGCATGGGGGAGCTCTTGTCCATAATGGGTATGGTATTAACACAGCTCCAGATGATTCACATTGGCTCACAATTGATATGATCCAAAAATATTTAGACAGTATAAAGGTGAATAAAGCACCTGGACTGGATGGCATACACCCATGGGTCCTTAAAGAATTAAGCTCTGTCATTTCAAAGCCATTGTTTCTCATTTTTAGGGACTCTTTAATGACTGGCATAGTACCACTGGATTGGCATAAGGTCAATGTGGTGCCAATATTTAAAAAGGGGTCAAAATCTTTACCAAGTAGTTATAAACCTGTTAGTTTAACTTCTATAGGTGGGAAGATACTGGAGAGTTTTAATAAAAGACCACATAGATTAGGTCTTGCTGGAAAAAAATATCTTAAGTAACAGACAGCATGGATTCATGAAAGACAGAAGTTGTCAAAAAAAATCTTATTTCTTTTTATGAGGGGGTGAGCAAAACCTTGGACAGAGGGGTGGTGGCGGTGGACGTGGTATACTTGGAGTTTGCAAAAGCGTTTAACACAGTTCCCCACACACGGCTAATGTGTAAGGTAAAGTCTACAGGCTTGGAAAAATCTGTATGTAAATTGATAGAAAACTGGCTAAAACATCGTATTCAGAGAGTAGTGGTTAATGATTCATACTTTGCATGGTCTAGGGTTGTCAGTGGTGGGCTCCTACTTTTTAATATATTTAGAAATGATATAGGGTCTGAGATTAAAAATCCCATTTCAGTCTTTGCAGATGACACCAAGCTGTCCAGTGGAATAACGTCCTTACAGGATGTCTCCAACGTACAAGCTGACCTCAATGCACTGTTTAATTGGGCAACTTTGTGGCAAATGAGGTTTAATGTTGATAAATGTAAGGTTCTGCACTTGGGGACTAAGAATTATTCATGCATCATACATACTAGGGGGGTACAACTGGGGGAATCAATGGTGGAGAAGGATCTGGGAGTTCTGGTAGATTACAAGCTTAATAATGGCATGCAATGCCAAGCTGCGGTTTCTAAAGCTAGCAAAATCCTCTTGTATTAAAAGAGGTATAGACTCCAGAGAGAGAGAGATATCATACTACCCCTGTACACATCATTAGTTGGGCACTGATTCACAAAAAGAACATTGGGGAACTTGAGAAAGTAAAGAGAAGGGCAACCAAACTGATAAGAGGCATGGAGGAGTTTAGCTATGAGGAAAGATTAGAGGAACTGAATTTTTCTCTCTTGAGAAGAGGAGATTAAGGGGGATATGATCTCCATGTATAATACATAAGGGGGATATGATCAACATGTAAAATACATCAGTGGTTCATATAGTGAACTTGGGGTAGAGTTATTCACCTTGAGGTCATCACAGAGGACAATTGGGCACTCTTTACATATGTAGGAAAATAAATTTAATCTCCAAACATGGAAAGGTTTCTTCATAGTGAGAGCTGTGAAAATGTGGAATAGACTCCCTCAAGAGTTGGTTCTGGTCAGCTCAGTGGATTGCTTTAAAAAAAGGCCTGGATGCTTTCTTAGATACACAGAATATAACTGGATACTAACATTTATAGGTAAAGTTGATCCAGGGAATATCCGATTGCCTCTCGGGGGATCAGGAAGGAATTTTTTCCCTGCAGGAGCAAATTGGATCATGCTTTGCTGGGTTTTGTTTTGCCTTCCTCTGGATCAACTGTGGGTGTAGGATTATAGCTTTTTTTTTTTTTTTTTAATGGTTGAACTGGATGGACTTTTGTCTTTTTTCAGCCAGACTATGTAACTATGTAACATACTGAAGCAGAGCATAATCCCCTTCCTTCGGAGACTGGGAAGCAGGGCAGTATGCCAACATGATAACGACCCCAAACACACCACTGCCTTGCTAAAGAAGCTGAGGGTAAAGGTGATGGGCTGGCCAAGCACGTCTTCAGACCTAAACCCTATAGAGCATCTGTGGGACATCCTCAAACAGAAGGCTGAGGAGTGCAAGGTCTCGAACATCTACCAGATCTTTGATGTCATCATGGAGGAGTGGAAGAGGACTTCAGTGGCAACCTGTGAAGCTCTGGTGAACTCCATGCCCAAGAGGGTTAAGGCAGTGCTGGATAATAATGGTGGCCACACAAAATATTGACATTTTGGGCCCAATTGGACATTTTCACTTAGGGGTGTACTCACTTTTGTTGCCAGCGATTTAGACATTAATGGTTATTGTTTTGAGTTATTTTGTGGGGACAGAAAATTTACATGTAATACAAGCTGTACACTCACTACGTCACATTGTAGCAAAGTGTCATTTCTTCAGTGTTGTCACATGAAAAGATATAGTAAAATATTTACAAAAATGTGAGGAGGGTACTCACTTCTGTGAGATACTACAAGCTGGAGCTGGATGGTACTTTAAAAGCTTCAACAAAGCTTGCTGAAAGCTCTGCAAACGCTTTGTCAAAGCTTACTGTTCACATTGATCTTATGCAAGCCGAAGCCCATGTGAAACAGGCCTAAATATAAAGGGAATGCAAAGTCAATGTTTTTCATTTGGACAGAAGTCTTAAAGGGATCTGTTCCCATTGCTAAGACCCTGTGAGATACTGTATATGTTGAACAAAGATCCTAATGGGAGTGTTGACTGCCACTTTTGGCAAACTGTTAGCAGGCTTCGGCACTTCTGGAAGCTTGTTGAAAGCCTGCTAGCAGCTTAAAGTGGCAATCAACACTCCCATTAGGATCTTTGTTCAGTTTGTAAATGTTGGAGCCGCATTGTACTTTAAAAGCTTCAACAAAGCTTGCTGAAAGCTCTGCAAATGTTTTGTCAAAACCTGCTGTTCACACTAAACTGAAGCCCATGTGAAACAGGCCTTTGGTCTTTATAGACACAGGACATCACAAACGCCACCTTTACAGGTATTTGGCCCTGTTAGCATATGTTTCCGTGCGTACATGGGTGTTTACAAGCATTTAGAGGCAGAAAAAAAAAAAAAAAGGACATTATTTGCATGTTTCGAAGAGGAAAGAGCAATTGAGTGGAAAAAATGCCAAACACACATTAACAATAGACACCATTACATGTTTCTATACCCAACCAAGACAGAAGTGGTGCCACATCCCAAAGCTACTAGACTCTTGGAAAGATTTCCAAGATTCTAACACGAGACACATTTAAGCACCTTCAAGCATTAATGCATTCTAATGGCCAGAATAAATGAATATTTCCAATAGAATGCATGAATGCCATACATGCATAAAACGTGCATACAAAATGTGGTTTTAGGTGTTTTTAACCCCTGAACACCGTCGCCTCTCGACCCTTTAAGAGGTTTCTGATGCCGGGAGGCACGGAGGGTTCTGATCATGTGGGCACATAACTAGGAAAGCTCCCGATCGCAAGCTTTCCCACTAGCCGCCGGCAAATGTGCTGGGAGGGTGCAGCGGGCACACTCTCGGCACAGCCCTGTTTACATTCTGGTACATATATATCTTGGAGTTAAAGCCCACCCACTGAGTGGCCACATATATGCATACTGCCAGCGGGAAGAGGTTAAGCTGCATTTTCTTCCCCTGAAGCAAAGCTTTCCAGGAGAGGAAAAAAAATGTCCTGTGTGCATGCGGCCTAAATGTACAGAGTGGATGCAAGGAATAATGTTTCGGTAAATATTCTGTATATACTGTAATTGTACATAACATCCACATTCAAAACATTTCTAACTCTATACAATGGATAGGTGCAAAAGAGAACACCGCTGTTATTTTTAAAGTATAATGTTTCACTGTACTGCCTTGAAGAATTGTTGGAATTTAATATATTTACACAGATTGTAACACTAGAAATAGAGGAAACATAAGCAGCATTCAGGTGTATGCTAGCCTCGGAAAAAAAACAAATTATATCAATGAGAGCATTAAGCAGACAGGTACTCACAGCTGTTGAGACTTGTTTCCAAGCTGCTAACATTGCCGCCAGCACCCAGACACAACAAGCGGAGAGCCTCCCTCTCCTTCAGGATGAGGGGATTAGGAAGAGACCTCAGAGCCTTACGATACATTTCATCACTGTCCTCCTCGACTATCATACAGAACATCCGCTTCATGGCGTTGTCTGTCCTCCTTCTCTTCATGCTGCATCATCAGCACATGGTAGATGTCCCCAGACTGAGAACTGCTCTTAGTGAGATGTTCTTGTTCTCTGTGCTATGAATCACATACACCTGTCTGGCGGGATTGGACAAGGTAGAGTCCTCGTGCCATCTCCAACGTGATGGCTCACTGTCATTCCTCAAACTCTTGTGCATTGATGTACAGTATGCCAGGTGAAAAGGCTGTGACTCACCAATGCCAACCATTCCACATCTACAAGTGAAAGTAAACCTTTAAAAGTTCTACGAGAAGGAATTAAACTCATTTTTACTTATGGGTGGAACTGTTCATGCTGATAAGCCACCCGAATCCCACTGGGGGGTATTCCCAGGAAAGCTTCACTTTTTGGAGCAAATATAATAATTGCTACACCTGCAATTCTGTAATTTCAAGGGTTAGTTAACTTTTTCTGAATTTTTCTAAAAACATCCCCTAAGCACTACAGTGTCCTCAGTACATCATATGCAGTACTCTGTTTTGTAAAAT